ATTTTACCGTGACGTCACTGGCGAAAAATGTAACAAAAGATCGTGTAAATAGCGCCGCGTAGGGTATCCGCCGCGTCCATGCGCTTTGCGTGCATGCTGTAACCATGGCTGTAATAGACCAGGCTATAATTGAGATAGGTGCCACTTTGAGAGATAGAAATTCTCATATTGTTTTTCTAGACCAGTTTTTTTATGGGGAATCAGAATATGTGAGGTAAAAGGGGTGTAACCCGAGAAATTTCGCGTGAGGGCGCTTTTTGCAGAATGGCCGCCAAAATCCAATAAACTACATATATATGGGTAAAATAAGCACAGAAGAGGTAGGTTTGACCAACTTTTGAATATGTAATGATAGGAGTAAAGTATAACTAGCTAAAGTTATTAATGTGAAGATTTCGGGAGCCAATTGAGGGCGCTTTTTAAAATGGCCGCCAAAATTAAATAACAACTTAACAACAGCTTCAGCACCTTAGATAAATTTGTTTAATTTACAAAACATGAATGTAATAACTGCTGTTGACTTTTTAAACCAAAAATAACATATTTTAGGGGTGTAAGCTAACTCACACTTTTGAAAATGTAAGTAAAATTTCTCCCTTATATTATTAGCCCTTTTCTGTTTTGAAGAATGAAAAATATCACCAGAATTCTAAAAAAAAAAAGAACCAGCTTCCTTACAAATATCCGGTTGTTTTATTATTATTTCTGTGTGCTATACAAGGTATTCCAGACAACTACCATTATTTTCATGTATGAAAAAGGCATCAATTCATTTACTACATTTTGTCTTGTAGTGTTTAACAGCTTTATGTTGAGCAATAATCTTCAGGTATTGCTTTTATCATTGCAATCTAAAAGGCTTCGTATTTATCGTATGAACAATTCTTGAACTTCCACAGGAATTTGTTCACTCCATCTGTTCCATTAACTATTTTTATTGACAGTCATTTACCTCTGCTTATTTTCATTCTTGAACGATTAAGTTTGTTAAGTATCTGAAGCTCGAAATTCTGCTAACATGGTGGCAACAACGATATGGCAGTGATCTTGTCTCTGCAAAACTTCTATTGAACATTTTACTTGCTTGATTTACATTTTTCTCCTTAACTCCAAGCAGCAGTGAGACATACTCTTGTTCTTCAGACAACTTTTGTGACAAAACATCTAAAACTCCGAAGTTGCTGAAAGTTTCAACAAACTCAGTTTATGATTACCGAAGCTACGTTTTCCTTTACGAAAGAAAGCCGGAGTGTAATTGTCTGTAATATCGATGTCTCGAGAAAGGGAACGGATGATTGCAATGCTATGGTTGTTATTCGTTAAAGCATGCTTTGCATACAGGAAGACTGTCATGTTGGCTTCTTCTTGGTATTCTGGATACGCCAGATTTTCGAGTTCACTTTGCCAAAACACAGTTTGCCGAATGCCAGTTTGGTGAATCAAAAACTACGAATCCCAGTTTGTTGAAACTCAGTTTGCGCTAGAGCCCACTTTGTCGAAAATAAAATAAAAGCAGTATTAAAACATTAACCACAGCATAACATTCATGTTGGAACACTCTCTTACTATGTATTCGTATAAGAAATAGCGGCTTAATGTAGTTAAATGACTCTTTTAGTTTTAATCTGTAAATCAATTAACTATCAGCAAATAAAAGTCAATTTAATAGGCCTCGCAGTTAAAAACCTTTATTAGCATACCTATGAAAAATACATAAATTTATTTTTTTTAAAAACAATAATAAAGGAAATAAACAAATTAATAATAATCTACACACATGCCAATTGTGGCTCCAGAAATTTGTCGACAGGGGGTCTAACTCAAAGGGCCGACTAGAGCCTCGGTGTCAGGGACCTGGCACAACAATCCTGATAGGGTTTGCAGAGGGAGTATTTAAAAGGATATGATGCTTATCCTTAATTTAATTTCATTTTATTTCTAATTTTAACTGATACCCATGCTTTCAAATGTGTTTTTGTACAGCTTTGTTGTCTTCCAATATTTTTCCTTTTATTTTGTACACAAATGAAGCTTCTTCCTTTCCAATGCACAGTATGTACACAAAGATTTCGACTGGGTTTTGGAGAACTGAGTTTTGGAAAACTAGGATTTCATGATTTCAGTGAACTGGATTGGGCATTCTGGGTTTCGGCAAACTGAGTTTCTGCAAACTAGGATTTAATTATTTCAGTGAACAACTGGATTCGACAAACTGGTTGGATACCTCCTTGAATACTATTGATATCGGCAAGAATGCATCCTTGTCACTGAAAGAGATTTTGCAATGCATGCTTTAAGGAATTACAACCAATACATAAATATCAACCGTTCCATTGTGGAGACATCGATATTGCAGTCGTTGCTACTGTATAATTTATTTTATGACAATGGAAAGAGGGTCATTCTAGACACAAACACTGGCAAATACCGAAAGTTGTTCAAATTAAGTGACATTAACTTTCACCAGAGAAGAAATCATCCTTTATTGGATCTCGTGCTTCTGTAGTCAAAGGCAAAGTTTTGTTGACACGTTCTGCAACATTAAAGTTTTAGATGTTCTGTCACAAAAGATGTCTGAGGAACTTGAAGACTGCGGCATGGAGGTAAGGGGAAAAGTGTAAATCAAGCAAGATGTGAAATGTTCAATAGAGGCAACAAGATCAGACATATCATTGCTACCACCATGTTTGCAAGCAGACCCTTGAGCACTTGAGCAAATTTAATCGCTAAAGAATGGAAATTAAGCAGACGTAAATGATTTGGTCAATAAAAGTAGTATTCACAACAGATGGAATGATAAACTGAAGCAAAAAATGATTGAGACAGTGATGCCCATGACGTCCAAGAACTGTTTATAATAAAGACGAAGACTTTCAGATTGCAGTGATATTAGCAATACATGAAGATTATTGCTCAACATAGGGTTACACAGTAAAGGACAATTATGTAATAAATGAATTAATGCCTTTATACAGTACATGAATTATGGTAGTTATTTGTGTGGTCCTCTGGAATACCTTGTGTAGTACACAAAAATTATGAAAAACAACCGTATATTTGTAAGGAAACTGGTATTTTTTTAGGATTCTGGTGATATTTTCCATTCTTCAAAACAGAAAAGGGCTAATATAGGGGGCATTTTTACTTACATTTCCAAAAGTCAAGTCAACAGCAGTTATTACATTCATGTTTTGTAAATTATACAAATTTATTTAGGGTATTCAAGCTGCTGTTAAGTTGTTATTTAATTTTGGCGGCCATTTTAAAAAGCGCCCTCAATTTCGGAATCTGATATTGATGATAAAATTTATTTTGTTTTTGAGGGAAAAAGTAATCTCTTTAATGATGATGTTCAGTGTGCATTTGACAGATATTGTAAAATATTTGCTAAAAGAACTTGGGATAGAAGATCAAAGTTAAAAATATGTTAAATGCATTGTTGCTTTAGTAATTATACATATACTGTATTTCTTTTTCTTGTGTTTTAAATATAATTTCTTCTATATACTTTTATATATATATATACACATACATATACATATATATATACATATATATATATATACATACATATATATTAACATACATATACATATATATATATACATATATATACATACATATACATATACATATATATATACATA